ACTGAATTACCGTTTGGCATAGTGCGGATGACTTCAGGTAATCGACTAAAAGCTCCAGAAGACAACCAGAAATCGGCCAGAGTTTTCGGGTCCTAAAAGGAGATGAATTCTTTCAAGACATACATTAAGGACCTCGAAGCAAACCATGAGATAAAAATACCTGTTCCACCAGTAATTCCGAAATTTTTGAGAGGAAGTAGGGAGTAAAGGTGTGGGGATGCGTACCCCTTAAGAACTGAAAAGCCGCATCGTTATGGCCGGCCTTAAGAAGACGGGTTAGAGCAATGCCAAGTCGAAAGTCGTCAAAATATGGGGGCCTCTTTCTCAATAAACCAAGTATCTGGGAAAAAATGGGTTAATTAATATTTATCTCCTGATTTTTAGTTCCAAAGACATAGCTTTACCGTAGATGCAGCCTGCTCATTGGTATCAAATTGAGGAGCCACAGCAAGACGTGCATAAAGATCAGCGAGAAATCGAGGTGAGAAAACGGGACGATTCAACAATGATTCAGATCTGTTGAGAGTCTCTTGAAGCAGTTCAATAACCCCGTTTCCATCCCCTAAATCAGCATATGCTGAAAGCAGATCTTCTGTGGCCATCATTGAGGGCCAATAATTCAGCTTTGACATGACATCCTGCGTTGTTGCAACTTCATCTGGCAGCCTAGGAATTAAGTGGTCAAATTCTCAAAGTAAATCAGATCTGTTATGCTAAAGGAAATCGTTGTCGTAGTTTTTTAACTAACCCACACTTAACGTAGCCATGAAGAATTTTGGAAAAAATGTAATCGTTAGGAACAGCACCCTCTTGATGCATGGCTTTGAGGTAAAAACTCGTTTCCTCCATGTTACCTCTTTCGCAAGACCTTCGGATAAAGACTGAGAAGAACACCTACTAAGAATAAGAAATGTATGAAGAGAACCATACCGCATCGGGTTTCAAACCGAGACGCCTAAGGTCAGCCACTGCATTCTCATAGGAAAAATCTTGATCAAATTCATACTTTAAATGCAAAAATCGTGCGATTGTAGATGCTCTAACTGTTTTATCTACGAACAAGCTGTAACTGACTTCGCACACAAACCTGCAGCAATCTTATCCCAAAGTTCATTAAAATAGACCCTTTGTTGTTCTGTATCCATTAGTCTTATGTTCAATCGGTTGCGTTCAGCTAACTGCATTTGAAAGGATGCATTTTTTGCATCGTTTTCAGTAAGTAAAGATCTTTCCTCGCGATTCCCTGGTGTAGGGTAGGCAGAGTAACTCACGTTAGCCAGCACTGGTGTAGGGAGGAGCGGGCATGGCTGCCTTCCAGAAAAGTGTAAAGTTTTAGAGTGTGCAACACGCAACACAAACGCAAGAACAGATCGATGGCGCAGGAAAAACATAATCGACGGAGAAGCGTGCCTACCAAACACAAATTGACGGGTGGATGATAAGAACACTTAAAGAATGTTTGCAAGTATGTAAGAAAATTTATGAAATTAAGGCCTATCGATAACAAGTAATTTTGCTCCTATTTGGAGTAATGTTGTTAAAGGAGCCAAATTTTGACTCAAACTAAATAGAGCATAACTAATTCAGAGTTCGTAAATAAATACTGCTGAAATATCTCCTGATAACTATCATCCCTATGTGTAGCTTCTTGAGGCTACTCACTAAATATTTGGTTGCATGAGATGCATGCCATTACATGTAACCGGCAGGAATGACAGAGGCGGAACTTTACCGCGAGCTGATTGCCGATCCACCCTACAGGTACGATACGGTCGCTAAAATGACTGCCACTCATACAGGTAGTCGAGCATACAAGGTGCTACTTAGCCCTATTCTTACTTTAGGTCATATTCTAGGCAGCCTTCTGATAAATTTCCTGCGCCAGTCTTCAGGTAATCGGTGTGTCCAGAAGGAACTTATGAGCCTGTCCCGCCATTTATTTACTCCGATGTAACTAAGGTTAGATACTTGGCCTCACTTTCATTGATCCTTCTTAGCAGCATAAACTGGAACAGAGTTGTTCATCAGGATTTTTCTGATGTCAGGCGATGGTACAATGGTTTAATCCTAATGCATAATAGGGAATACGGAGTTTAAAACAATATTTTGTGGCTTAGATTTAGCACAATGACAGTGTCGGAGAGTACATGTACTCGGAGACGGAAGGGCAAACGGAACTTTATTGTGGCCCGGAGGCCAGCCCACGTGTACAGAGACTAGACAAAATTTAAAGTGACCACCAAACATCAAGCAGTCACATGAACAAAGCATTACACTGCCCCTCTTTTCTTCTGAGCGACGTCCTCGGCGCTCCCCTTTGGTACACTACCCACGCTAGCCATCGTAACACATTCGGTGCCTCGAGAAAGCACCCACGAGTCAACCGCGCTAGTCAACAGATAACATGAGTCTGATGAACCGTATCTGCTCTCCTCAGCAGCTTCAACTGGATCTGGAATTACGTTCGGTCTGACAACCAGATTCGGTGCCGCAGACACCTGTTGACCATCAATTGCTTCCAGAGCTAGACGGTGGAAGTCTGGTCTAAAACCTATATGCTACAGGGAAAACGGGATTAGCCGCTGTTCCGTATGTGAGGAAAACCATAGTGTTAAATCCGACACCTAAACACGGATTTTGTATGGGAAATTCTGACACGGAACTTTTCCGGATAGTTCACGGCGGTGTCGCTTCAGTTGTTAATAGCTTGTTTGTGGAACACGGGAATAAGGTGGAACCAAATGCAGACGTCAGTCTAAATCCTTTCGTTGTGAAGGATTCAGGGATTCTCCGTGACCAAGGTAAATGCGCCTCCTCCAAATCACCTTCTTTTTGCCTGTATCTTCATCTATTGCACTTCGATAGAGTCAGACTTCCTTCTACGCATGTATAGCCCAT